GGCCCTATGTAATTCGCAGGCCTACAATATTACATTGTTGTGTAAACAAATGTATCAATGTATTTTGGAAAGGCAGGATATCAGTGTGTAGGCTATATACCCAACTATGAAAGAAGCAAAACAGATAAAATAACTAAATTTATAATTGTTCATTGGGGTTTGTATTGTTATATAATATACTTTAAACATACTCATAAAATCATTAAATGTTACATTATATATTCATATAACATGTTACCGGGGTGCCGGTAGTTCTTCAAGCATTACAACGATGAATAATTTTCGATCTAACATTAATAAAATATAATTTTAAAACGAGCAATACTAAACTGACAATTTATATATTATAGTATAGTCTTGAAAAAAATAGTAATTTGACAATATTTCATGTTACCACTTGTTATGTCAACTTCAAGTCTTTCAGAGTTAACAATTACAATTATATAAGAAACTATATAATATTGTAACCGTATTAGTAAAATACGAAAAGGTATGTTGCTTAACTAATATAGGATGTGACTTTTCACATGATTCAGCAAGCTTTAACTAGTGATTTAAGTGGAAAACTGTTCACTTAATTCACCTGAATACAGCTAATATATCGAGAGCTAACGAAAGTTTGTCTCAAAATAATCATGGTAGTCAAAATAAATGCAATCTTTGCTGCGTTAGTTATTACACATGAAGTAAATATAAACTCTCTCCTCCCCCACCACCTACACACACCCACCAACTCTATGACATGCACACACCTACAGCACGAACACTTACTTTCAAATGTGTTTGAAAGAAAAAGGAGGATGTACAAACCAGCAATAAAATTGGAAAAACAAATGGAAATAAGTGTTAATATACATTTTTTATTGAACATTAATGACTGCAGTCATTAATCCTTCCCAATTCTATATCCACAAATGAATAAATTTTATGTCACTTTGCAAAATATCCATATTTAAAAATTTGCACCTTTCCATCACTGCATTCAAACAGTTTCTGAAAGCATTAAAACACTTAACATTCGGGAACTTTTGCCAGTTAGTTGATCATTTTAATAAGACTATATCAGTTCTGACATAAATTGGTTAACCTTAGGTCCTCTGGTTTATATTTCACTCAAGTTACCTGGGTTTTCTTGTTGGGGGGGGGTGTGGGGTTGTAATTTATAACAAAACACAACAAAAATCTAAGATCAAATAAAGTAGTGTCTTAAGCCAGGCGGGGCACTGACTGCGTCCAGATCCGATGGTCGTCAGTCGACGCAATTCTATAGAGAACGCAACGCCACGAAGTGCGCGCAACGGATCATTTTTAATGACGATCCGTTCAGACTGCCACACCGACAATCAGCAGACGGCATCACGTCGTCCAGCGCTCATAAAGAGCGGAGTTGGATTCGTCGTACGACGCAGTGAGTGACCGGCTTAACTATAACACTTATGGCTGGTGCACACCACGTCAACCGGCCGACATACGAACTCGTCCGCACTATTGAGCACTTGCCCAGCGCAATTCTAGTGGACTGACAGTCGGCGGCAGTTGTTGTTATGGTTACTTGCACACTGTAAAGTAGCATATGAACGTGTGTTTAATTCAAGTAGTATTCTGTTGTAAATTTCTTAAGTTTGCGAGTCTATTGATGGTCGTGGGTGTACGATGGTTTCAAGAAGTCTTTCAAAACGATAAGATGTAACTAACGAGAAGGATAATAATATCTCTTCAATTGGGCATACTTATTGTGAGGCAAACAAAAAGAAAGTATTCAGTTATTGTAGAACATTTTTTGTTTCGTACCATAAGTTTATATTTTCAGTAGGTCTATGTAAGCGAAGTGTTTAAGAGGGGTACATACAATGATGTATATTCAACTTAAAATCCACAAGTTTAATGATTCACTTAATGATTACAACGATGACGACGGTGATGGTAACGATAATGATTCCGCATCCGATGACGATGAGATGACGATAACGCGTCGATAACCATAATGATAATAATGAATAATGATGATGACGGTGGCTACAACGATAGTGATGGTGATGACGACGATAAATACAAGGATAACGACAACGATAACGATTCCAATAACGACAGTGACAGTGACAATAATAACGGTAGTCCAATAGACTTAATAATGATGATGATGATGATGATGATGATGATGATGACGACGATAATGAATATGACGACACCGACGATGATGATAATGATGACGATAACGATAATATTAAAGATAATATAAGTTATAATTTTTATACAGTAAAATATAGGCTTGTAAAAATATGCGGGCCTAAATTATATCAAGCTTATTGCTTATTTTCTTTTATTCCACTGGTATTTAAGTCAAGAATAATATTTTCGTAGGTATTTTCTTCTTTATCATTGTAATTTTAGACCTGATATTATCTGAAATGTGTATCAGAAGTGGCACTTTCTTTTTATGTGATGGTATTATGAATAAAAGAAATGACAAGTTTAGATATCTGTATTGTTTTGGAATACTCTAAAAATGTTCGTGTTAAGATTGAGATTGGAAATTGGCATGGAGGTAAAACACTGTGAGAGGAAGACGAAGGTATTGTGAGCAGACGCGTAGCGACGGTCACTAGGCAGTTTTTAATTTGAGCAACGACGCACGCTATACCATGGCATACCAGATTCCCTCATCCGTGACTGTCTAATTCGGGCCAAACTGCAAAATGCAGACGAGAACTCAGCGTTCTCGCATGCGCAGATGACTTCTTACTGGCATCATTATGTTCTAGGAACTGCCATCCTTGTATCCCAGTATAAAGCGGGAGCTAGTGAAAACTATTTCTATTGACCTATTCGTCGAATATGGAAATAGTGAGTAGGTCCTACAGTCTCAATTCATTAAAACGTTATATTTATATTTTCTATATAGATAGAACATACATTAAAATGGCTAGTAAAATAATTAAAACGATACGAATCAAAAGAGACAATAATACAATTTAAGCATCACCATAATACATTGATGAAGTACACACTTATTTATCGAGACATGGTAATTAAATCAATTTATTAAATCTAAATAAGTACCGTAGGTCTATCGTCAATGTGTGGTTGTTGTATAATTGCATTAAATAGGTTCTTTGCCAGAAGTCATGCACTTCTACGTAGTATTAAATATTATGCTCTGTCTACACTACCGTACTATCAAATTATATGTGAAAAAAGTGTGTGATGTGCCCATATATGGGCGTGATGATGTCATATTACACCCATCACATTTATTTTTAACATAGAATTTAATAGTGGGACAGAACTTTGAAGATATAGAAATTTCCAGAAAAATTGGAACCAGGATGTGAGGAATGAAGCCCTCGCCTCACCCCACCCCTCCCTCCGCAGGAGCATGTTATGCCTATACGGGCGCATTTATCCCCACACTCATAGGTTCTCTATTGGTGTTCCCCTCCCCGGAGGGAAACATCCTGCATTCACCCTAAATTGAGCCGTATTCGCTATTTGCTATTCCGGGCCGATATACTGCTATCACTTAATTAACAGACCACACCTGCTGGATATAGCATACAGGTGTGTTGGTCTGTGGAATAGCATTCTATAGGCACGAGAGCCGGGAGTTGCAACTATAATTTGAGGCGTGGGGAGCAGACCTACGCCATAGGCTATAACACCAATATGTTCAGCGCTCATGTGCAGGAATACTGCCTTGCAACCACACTGTATAGCAGGCAAGTGGACCTCAGCGAATTCTGCAGTGCGGTACCCTTTGAGGAGGTATGCTAAAACTTAAGGGCCTTTAGGAAATTCATGTGTCTTACTGTTTCATACCTTCTGATGTGGCCATGACAGTTCGTCCATTGTTTTTAGCATTATACGTCAGAAAAAGTGTGCTGCACTTTCGGCTTGTAAATTTCATAGAATATTAACAATAATCAGTTACCAACTTACATTTCCAGAAGCATTACACTTTGCTACAATAGTAGTCCGACACTTCGAAGTTGCTTGGTTTATGAAAGTAATTTGAACTTGGATCAGCTGCGATGCATGGACCAACTAAAGTTACTAATCAAGCGACCGAATTAAAGTTACGTTATTATCTTAACTATTCCGCTTGTTAATATCACGTGACTAAGTCTACAGTTTATATATATATTGCACTAATTTTACCCAGAGTAAGCCCAAACTGGTTTTCATAGGATTCATGCACAGTATACATAGACCTAGTACCGTTAAAAAAAACATCAAAGGACTGCTGTACAACATAAGCATTAAAGATGTACTATCAGGCAAAAAGACAGCAAAATCAAGGGTAGAGTCACTGGTAGGGGATGGGGCTCTGGGGGAAGGGCCCTATCGGGGTGAGGAAAACCATAAGAAAAGTTAAGTGTATTTCTACATATTTTTTACTCTCAAAATCAATTAAATATGCCTTTCAAACCCATATATTTTCAAAGTTTTCGGGAGCTTCGCCCATTGGACCATTACGGTTTATTTTGAGCGTCACCTTACCACGCCCACTTTCCCCCATGTCGGGACATCGCCCCCTCCCCCGTTTTAGGTACCTTTGACCCCCGTCGGACAAATCCTAGTGCCACACCTAAGCAAAATACCTGAAAAAATCAAATAAAATTATGAATAACTTATTTCAAAAGATCAACTAAATTATTAGCTTCCAACGAGAAAAAGATCGAAAAAAATTTTCCCTTATTTGCATTTACTGTACTACAAAAATCCTTAAATTGACTATTTAAGGATCAATGCAAAATAATTAAGTTATTATTTAACGGTCATAAAATTGATGGGAGAATTTTTTTAATTCAAATTACTTATTAGTTAATAACTTACTTAAATATACAAATTAAGCAATTCAAATGTGGAATTAATATTTTCAATTTTTTTACCTCATGACTGATGATAGTACATATTTTAAGTTTACAATAGGATCACATATACCGATTTATCAACAAACCCTGAACATTTTTAGTATTCTGACAAGGACCCATAGTCTTTTTTTTCTCAAACTATTTTCGTTTGCAGAACTTTGCAAGAAATTTGTTCAATTTCTTTGACCAAAATGGAGAAGGACTAATCAGGCTTTCCAGCGTGATTCAGCAGCTTGGTGAATTTGAGATGTTGCCACCAATTGAGAAACTGCGATACATTTTCCACGTTATTGATACTGAAGGTAGCCTACTTTTTGTGTTTTGATTTGGTATTCCACGTGGTTATACGTCATTGATTACGTAATGTTTGTTCTGAGTGTGTACAAGGGTCATAGGTAAGATCAGAGATTGATACAAAGGAGGTTTTATCGTCATTATCGATATTGCATCTATTTAATCCTTGATTGCATTTTCCAATAAGCAGATCTGAATGTGTTCATGTTCATCGCTCTATGAAGTTTTTTTTTTTGGTACCTGGGGGTGCCGCTTTAAGACACAACATACGGGTCTATAGTTACCCTTATATAGCATTCAATTATCTATACTTATCACTCACCCTGACAACATCACTGCATGCCTACTCTTGATTTCATAGTGTCGGCAGTGTACAATGCCATTACAACTTTAACACAGTGTAATAAATATTAGTGATTAACACATCTAGACGGTTGAAAACCGTCGTCCCCGAGTCACGTGACCAGCCTTGCGTGTCATATTTTGTAATAACAGAAATAAATCTTTTAGCATTAATGGTTATATATAGAAGACGAGCTAGCGGTAAATTAGATATAAATTGACAGAAAGCGCGCACAGCTTCAAATCATGATCTACTCAATAAGGCAACATTTTTTCAGATACTTGCGCAAGAGCACATTTGCAATTTTGTGTAGGCATACATGAGAATAATCGATACCTTATTTAGGATAATATAAGGAAATTGAGTGACTGTCAGGTCTATTTTGTTTGTCCGTGCTTTGATCAACAATCGGTAATGAAAGAAATATAATGTGTATACTTCACGAAGATTGCGTTAGTCGATAAAGAGACCGAATCATTGACCAGTAAATTAGTGTCCATCGCAAACAATAATGTACTAATAGCATGAGGCCTAATTCTAATGCTCACGCGTAAGTACTTTATCTTATCCAATCAAAGAACGAAATTTCAGTATGTTTTCGGCTACTAATTTCTAAGACCACCAATTTATTTGAACCTAATTAAGACCTACGCCCATATCTTGTCGTGAAAATCAAAAAATAGGCCTATATCAGCATAGATAATCTAAAGTATATCAAATTATGTATTGATTAAGTCAATATCAGTCTTGTAATCTGGTATTTTGTAAACATACCCTTTCTTCCATGTAGTTCACGGTGTATCAAGTTTACGAGTCATAGGCATGACGGCGGTGAGAATAAAAACAAGTTCTAAAAAGCTCCGATGAGGGTAGTATAATAGAGGCAATAGAGTAAATTGGCCCTAACGGCCGCCCATACAAAAAAGATCTATTAATCAATCAGCCGAGTGATTATAGTGGCCCTAACGGCTGCCCACACACAAGGTACTCCAAGATCTCCTCATCGGAGCTAAAAACTTCCATATAAAACTATTATTTCCAACGTATACCAAGAAAAAGGAAGATACTATTTAAAGATAGCATATCAAAAGAAAATAGTCAAAAGACAAGGTCAGGGTCACGGAATTCAATTATTTACCCTCCAGCATAAAAGAAAATAATGGAATCGCCCCTCATATTGAGGCAGCATTTAAGAAAATAATGTACCTGGCCACATCATTATTTTCCTGAGGGTATGCTGCAGTTTCGTCCCATTATACACGGCCTGCTTGTTGGTATTCATGGCACAGGCAGAAGGTTTTCACTCTGGAGTAACTGCTCTAGTTTTATAATTTGGATTAATATGATGAATATTTTCCCGAAAGGTAATTATTGCCACTCATTGTTTTCAAATATCAATTCTTACCCGTCTACTTTTAGTAATTATCATACTTAAATATATACTGAAGGCGTGATGCCCAGGTGGCTACACATACATTTATGATATCACATAATTGCTATTTTCTAGAAAATTCAGGATGTTTGGTGGACTCATCATAAGCACAAAAAAAACATACTTAAATATGATTACATATTTTCAGAAAAAAATTCAAAACTTAAATTTAGAGGTATTATATTTATACAATAATTTGCACTTATCGCGAACAAATGAAAGTCTGTATATTTGTGCAAGGTTTAATTTTAATCCAATTATATGTAGGTGATAGTAGGCCTAAAGCAGCATTTTATACAGCACTGTAACAACGGATTATTTATTTTTTTCGCGTTGTATAATTATGCAGTAATAATTTGCTCATTGTGTGATTACATTGTAGGCGCTGACTGTAACTACAGTAATTATTGTAAATAAGTAATGTAATTTCCACAATACCTGCTGACAGAAGCAAATAATCACTTTAATCCTGCGTCGTGACGTAAGATTGCATGCTTACTTAAGTCCAATGTTATTCTTTTTCTAATGTGTAGATTTTTTCTGTATTTTAGACATTACTTTAGATCATCAACAAAATAATTTAGAAACAAGTCGCGTTGTATATATGGTTGTATGAATTTCAAATATTAAACCTATTTCCATATTTATATCAATTTGTAAAAATTGTTTCCTACGGACGTTAGAGTGAAATCAACTAAAGATGGCCTAGAGGGCAGTATACAAGGAAATATATTAATCAAGTTACTGTTCGATACGGATCACTCGAAATTTTAAAGGGTCAAAGGTGATTTTAGGGTGAAGCTTGGTTCAAATCAACACGATTAAGGTGGAAACCAAGACTTGAATAGCTCTTTTGTCGCATTCTGCCTTGTGAATGTTGTTGAAACCAATCACAAAAGTAGAGCAGTCATTCCATCTTCGCCCTGTACCTGAATACATTACCAGCAATACGCAGGTCGTGTATGATGGGCAAACTGCAGCATAACCCTCACTGAAATAATGGAAATGCTCGTCGTATTCGGGCAGATTATATTCTTGTGTGCTGCAGCCTACCCTGAAAAATGGAATCGCCTGCCGTCTTCAGGTGGAGGTAAACATCGATGCTTGCATACGTCAGGCAACTTTTATGTTCGCCGTTGCGTTTATTACGCGTCTAATTTTAATATGCGTTGTGTTTCTTGCAACTTCATCAACATTGCGTCTATAGTGTTACACAAACTTAAAACTTAAAAGCTTACGGTTTATTCTAAAGGTACAGGACTGGTTAACATGGAGACACTGCTGAAGCATTTGGGACTTTGGGTCGACGTTCAATCGTCTGGCCTCACCAGCCAACAAGTACATTCTGTGGCCAGCGCAGTTTTTACAACTCATGGAAATGCAGATGTAGTGTCAATTGAAGAAGTTATCAAGACAATTGAGGATAATAAAGCATTGATGGCGGTTATGACAAGGTACAATCCAGGTTTACATAAAGCCCTGCTCACTCTATCAAATTGCGTGTGACAAATAACTGTGATACGCCTATATTTCGTTCAGTATGACAACGCAATGCCCATATGGGCACATCACACAAATTTTCCACACAACATTTGATAGTGTAAAGTCCCATTCCTTCAAAGTCTAACTTAGTTGTTATACATGTTTTTGAATTTTGCAAAGCATGTCAATATTTATGGCAGATACTGTTTTTGATCAGCTAATAAACCTGAAAAATTCCATATTTTTATATTTCCCAATTTGCATATTTAGTTAAGTCAGTAAAAGGCTAACAGTTATTTCTATTTTATAGCACAAGTTACAAAGGTCTCTATAACAATTTTCCTCCCTAATCAACGAACTCATAAAAATTACAGTCCCTGCAGTCTTTGCATTGACCTTTCATAGGGCATTGCCGGACTGTCAATCAGACTTAACAGCTGACCAATCATGGCAGGGCTAGGATCACGCACTCGTCCCACAAACGTACGCTGTACAAGGGGCGGGGCTTATCGGAGGAAATAAGGGCCAAAAGTAAAAAGTTTACATGCCTATATCAGTAATTAATGACACCTGGTTTGTTTTGATAGTTACACGCGTAGGAATAGCTACTGAATCAAAATTATTACGAGAAATGAAAAACCATAATACTTAACGATAATACAACAACAAAGTAGCGTTCAAGAAAATTATTTTGTATCAAAGCTCTGTGATTTGCCCATATGTTATGGGCATGACAAAGTTATATAATCAATATTTGTAACACATAATTGTCAAAGAATAATTGATAGTGTGGACAGACTTTTAATGGAATGAATGATTTTTGTTTCATTTCAGCGTCCATCAGAATCAAGTCCTCGCCAATGAGCAGCAAAGCAAAGGGCACCCTCATCGATCAAGCAGAACACCATTTCCTTTCAAACTTCCTCGTCGATTTTGTTCCGTTAAATATATTGCTTACAATAAGCGAAAGATTGTAGTCTTCCTGTTTATCATCTTTGTCAATATGTTCATGTCCGGTTACGGAGCTTGGAAATACAGGGAGCATAACTGGTGTGTCATTATAGGTAATTTGTCAAACATTGATCCTCTGATCCTATATTTCCATCATTTACGGCCCTTAATGTCTCACTGATGTGTTTTGTCATATGCAATATATATAATTTTGTAATTTAATATTATCACATTCTAACTTATATTTCACCCTTTTAAAGAAGTTGTAACCTAAATGGTCTTAAATTAAGTATGACTTATTATGCTAATAAGCCTAAATTTATAATATATAATTTATTTCCTTTACGCTCAGCTCGAGGATGTGGTGCCTCCTTAAACGTAGCGGTTGTCATGGTGGTAATGTTTATGTTACGGTACTGGGCCACGCGTATGAGGAGAACACGGATGGCAAAGCTTCTTCCGCTGGATAACTTCCTGATGTTTCACAAAATGCTAGGCGTCATCGTGGCCTGCTACTCGTTAGTACATACAGTCGCACATGTTGGAAACGCAAGTATGAACACGCCCTTGGTAGGCCTGCATTAGTAATAGTAGTATTAGTGGCAGCAGAAACTTTAATTGCCATGGTAATAAGAAATTACTGCTAAAACACAACCATGAAGACCGACGGTATGTAAAAATCCCAGCAGTACACGCCGGTGTCGGCGTGTGCGTCGGCAACCAGTGGGGTATCTACGGGACGTCCACTAGAAATTTACTTAGCCAAAAAAACAACAACGAACAAACAAAAAAAGTAATAAAAATCACCTCATTTCACCTTATTTTGCCAGTCAACGTCAATCACCTAATCATAGAGTTCAGAAGCAGCACAGACTGGAGTTGCTGCGAGTTAAGTGAATTCCCAGATACAATTTCTCTTTCAACCGGGAGTAAAGCTAAATTTTAATATGATGATGAATGTGGGTTTAATTCCTCATAATTGTGTATGTGATTTATTGCAGTATTGATGACGCAACTGTCGACTAATGGACTTAGTCTTTGGGATGTGCTTTTCACCTTTAAAGCTGGAGTGGGCTACGTGAAGCACAGTGCATATATTACCGGCTGGGTTCTAATCAGCTGCCTCCTGGTACTCATATTGGGGTCAACTAACTATGTACGACAACTACATTTTCAGGTATGTGTGCAGGCAGGAGGTACCAGTAAGCTTTGGCACCGTCAACCAACCATAGAGGAAGTAGCTATAGTCACCAGTCAATCATAAATCCATTACAATATATCACCAAACAATCATAGAGAAGTAACTATAGATCCTCACGTCACCAGCCAATCATAAATCCTTAACAGTATTTTGCCAACCAAATTGCTGAATTAACCATAGACCCTTACATCACCAGCCAATCATAAATCCTTAACAGCATTTTCTCAACCAATCATTGAAGTAGCCAGAGACCTCACGTCACCAACCAATCAGAAATGTGTAACAAAATATTGTATACCAATCATGGAGTAGTAAAACTAAATTGAACCAATCGTGTACTCGGAGCTGAATACTTTTGACAAATAGGCCTACTGAAGTCGTGTGTAATCATCGACAAATCATAACCATGCATATTGAAACCATACTTTGTTTAGATTTTCTTCATGAGTCATCTCCTTTACTTGCCGTTCATCATCACCCTGCTACTTCATGGCCCAAACTTTTGGAAGTATTTGGTTATTCCTGGAGGATTATTCGTTGTGGAGAAAACATGGAGCAGCGATCTGTTAAAGAGACTTCGATATGGACGGACGTACATAGAAGAGGTTCATTTGCTTCCTAATGGGGTAATATAATGCGCTAAACCTATTTCATCGACATTTTGATAAAGACAGGACATTTCGTTTTTTGTTCAAACGCATGCGTATTGAAATGCTGCAAGAACTCTTTCTACATCCAGGTTTCCATAAAGTCTGTTGTTTTTTTACTGCAATCATTACACTGCGGAACTAATGATTCGTAGTTTGAACTGCACATGCCCGTACCAAGGTCAATAGACATAATCAAACATACGCATAGCATAGTATGTTTAAGTCAATTGACCATGGATAAGGGAATACGCAATTCAATCAACGAATTAGCTTATTCCCGACGCACGAAAACTCTCTTTGATTCGACAAACCCTCAAAAACTGTTGGCGATATTGTGCAGAGGTTTTATGGAAACCAGACTGTATGATATTTTCTTGTTCATAATGATGACGCCAATATAATGTGCTTGTCTGTTTTATTATGTATCCTGTTTTTCTTTAGGTTGCTCACTTGAAGATGACCAGGCATCGTAATTTCAAGTTCAATCCCGGAGATTACGTCTTTCTACACATCCCAGTTCTACAGAAGTATGAGTGGCATCCCTTCACAATCAGTAGTGCCCCTGATGATACTGGTACTCGTCCGTTTTATTAAATACAATCCATAAAATAGCAACTAAACGGGTGATGCACATATCGCTACTCCAGTAACGCAACACCTCTCACCGGCTACAGCCAGGAGTCCCGACCCATTTAGAGACCCAGGATATTATTCGGCATTTGCCAGGACCATTGTTCAAATCGGCTGAGCGGGCCCCTTGGAGCTGGACGTGTAAAAAAGTATCATATTACCCAACTAAGTTCCTACTACACAACTCTCAGGGTAGTGGTAGTGAGTGACGAAGACCTAATCAGATAATTTAGGCCTCTTCGTTACGTCACTGCTCTATATTCTCCAGTTTTTCTTAAATTCAACGTAATTTCCTTTGTACAATTTTAATGTTCCTTAGGGCAGGATTTTTTCCCACTGGCAGATGCTTTCATCTTTACTGTTTACAATTTATTGTGATATCCAGCGTTACCGCAAAATTCTTTCGAGTTAAGATTCATATATTCCAGGATATAGGCTATAGGATTATAATATGCGCCTATGTTATATATCATATTATATCATATCATATATTATATTATACTTTAAAAAGTTATATAGTATAGTATATAGTACAATATATATATATATATATATAAATATTATATATATTAATATTAATATTATTATATATATGTTTTCTATAAGTATGGTTATAATAAATAATATTTTATATTAAATATTACACCATATATATATATATATATAATATAAAATATTATTTATTATAACCATACTTATAGAAACCTTATCGTGTCATATACGATCACTGGGTGATTGGACCAAAAACTTGTACAAGTTTTTTGAGACCCACACAGGACAGCAAAGAGTTGACAGTTACATAGTGGACAACAACAATGCAAGCACACCGAGTAAAAAGAGCACTCAGACAACCGGGTCCACTGTTACCAGAGTGAGACGAAGAAGTGCATCTTTCCGTGCAAATGTAAATTCTACATTATAGCTACTATCCCAAAGCAACGACAAGAAGGCCATGCTCATTTGTTTTTAAATTATTGTTAATGATAATTAATTATAACGAAATAGGGCCTAAATATTTTTTTTCCTTTTCAGTCGCAAAAATACATGTTGTACAGCACATACAAAAACAAAACTTACTGAGAAAACATTCATCTTAGCATTTATTTGAAAAATCTAACATTATTTTCGAATTCCTCACGCTTCCATTCGAGTGTGGCAGACATTTCAATACATCTGTAATACCTCTTTTAGATCCTAAGTCCATAAATATTTGGTTCAACACATTTCATTTTTTTAATGTAGTATTGGTATTTTTTTTTTTAAGTTTTCCAACAAGAGCAATACATACGGTACTATAGTTAACTTGTCTAAATGTATCCTAATAAATATTCAGCTTTCTGTATATCAAACTTGTAAATGTATCGTCAATGTTATGTAGGCCTACAAATATATTAACTATTATCTTTCTTCTGACGTCAGGTGTATATCGATGGACCATATGCAACACAGTCTTGCCGTGTTTTTGAGACTGATCACGCGGTTCTCGTCGCTACCGGTATTGGTGTAACTCCATTTGCATCAATCTTGTACAGCATTTTACATCGCTATCGAAATTCAAAGCTGACTTGTCCTTCCTGCCATCACTCATGGATTGAGGATGGTGCAGTAAGGTCATTGAACCGCCTGAAGAAGGTAACTTAGCCCCACCTTCCTTCCATCATTACACATTCAGGGGCGCAGACAGAGGGGAGGGGCGGTAGAAGGGGCTCTGACTCCCTCCCCCTCAAAATTAAAAAAAATATTCCGATTATTATAGTAAATGATCGGTAAATGTAAACCAATATATAATATATGAAATGCAAGCCACCCTCCTTTTATTATAATTTACAGAGTAACTGAGTGACCCTTGCCTCAGACTTCGGCGGACACGCCATGTCATCTATATACAGTATCTCAAATGTTGTTTGTACATTAATAAAGTTTAAATAAAAAAATATTTTGTTAGTCATGGTAACTTTCTGGTTACCCGTATCGAGGTAGCAAATGAAAACACTAATTTATTACAGTATTATTTGGTATAATTTAACTCTTTCCTGGTATAATACAGTTTAACCTCCCTCCAGTAAGCGATCACCTCCCTTAACGTCCACTCTGGTCCCTTTGTTCTTACTATTTAATTAGTGCATTTTAATACATCGCGTAAGCAACTAACTCCCGACTTTTTGACTTAGATTTTTCTTATGATTTACCTCTCGTAAGCAGTGGCGGATCCAGGAATTTGAAATAGAGGCCTCAAAGAGGGACTTTCGCAGATGGAGGGTCTATACTAGGCCTACCCGAGTCCCATTCATGAATCCGCCACTGGTAAGCGACCACCATTAAAGTTTGTAGTATCTTTTGACAACAATACAATCAGCTGCGTCAAGCTGCGTCAAACTAATAGTATAGGCTTAAGCAAACTATTAAAGAAAACAATATAAAAGCGGTAAGATAAATACTACGCTTTCTCACCTCATACTAATATTATGGGCTACACTATTAAAGGAATAATATAAAAGCGATAGGATGAATACTAGGTTTTCTCACGTCTGAGAAAATTCTTGCAGTAGGTAATAGAACAACATGCCTGCTTTTAAAACCTATTTAAAAATAGGCCTTCATCGGAGATTCGTGATTGTGAAATCACTACCCTTTGTTGGTGAATAAAAATTCACATGGTAAAACCTTTCAATTCTATCTTTTATCACATTAAATAATGCAAATTTTCCCGGGCCCTGGGCTCCGATCCTGGCCCCACCTTAGTTGCTCGCTGTTGATACTAGGCCTATTATTCTTTGTTTATTGCTTGCTACAGGTGGATTTTGTTTGGATAAATCGAGACCCGAAATCGTTTGAGTGGTTTGTTAGTTTACTCGCTCAGCTTGAAAACCAGCAAGAGGAGACCATATTCTCCGAATTTCTCACCATCCATTTATACATGACGTCAAAATCGCGTAAAGAGGATTCCCGCGACGTCGCGTTGCAGATGGCACTGGATCGCATGTGCCACCAAACTACTTCTGACGTCATCACAGGACTGAAAACAAGAACTAGGATTGGACGACCGAATTGGAGTGAGGTGTGTTATTGTTGAACTAACGAACGTATCATTGTTCGAACGATAAACGATCATACAATATCTAATCTTAAATTTGTGTTTGCTTTATTTACAGTTAATGTCATCAATCCAGAAGAGACGTGCTGGCAAAGTAAAAGTATTCTTCTGCGGCCCAACTATATTAGCAAATATAATCAAGTCCCAAGCTCAGAAACATGGCTTCCTTTTCTGTAAAGAAATATTTTGATTAATTGAAAATAAATTATATAAATTAATTGGATTTTGTCGTTTATAAGTAGCCACTATTTTCAATTAGCGATATTTATATTTCGTTAACCGTCGCTGACCATGATCCTTATAGAGTACATAGTGAAGTGGAAGCAATGTATCTATTCAAATAGATTTTACATCCTTTATATTTATGTAGGTTTATATATTTACGCATGCATCCGAAATTAATAAACTAAAAAGAACTGACTCATTTGTATTCATTATTAATATGTTGATGTTGGTGGTGGTGGTTTTGTTGATACTAAAGTTAATGGTTCTGTAGTTGGTGTTAGTGGAAGTAGTGATTTTGTTGTTGGGGCTGGTGGTGGTGATGGTAGTTTTGTTAGTGCTAAAGTTGATAGATTGTGTTGGTGCTGGAGTGGTGGTTATGGTAATGGTGCCAGTGTTTGGGTGGAAGTACCAGTGTTTGTGGTAGTAGTTGCAGTTGTGTTGGTACATGAGTGATGGCTGCGATGGATGACGATTAGCCTATAGAGATGAAATAACTACAATTACCAATTTTAGGCCTAATATAAACGATGATTTTTGGCAACACATAATATTAATGGGTAACAGAATGACACCCGAAGTCATTTGCCTCGGTTTACCTAGATACGGTTGATCGTCAACGTCGCTATACGAGTTGGTAGGTCATCAGTGTCTCATGGCTGGTACGGTAAATGCCGTAGCCAGCTATTGGGACAGTTGAGACAGTCTCGCACATTTTTTCTACTGGGTCCACAAAGAATGGGTTCACATATTTTAAAATGGGTTTAAATTATGCTGTTTTATGCACAAAATGAATAGACCTACACTTTTTGAAAAATGGGTGCAGATTTCTCATATTTTGCTTAAAATGGGTCAACTTTTAAGAAAATTGGTCCAGATTTTTCATATTTTTTTTGCGTAAAATGGGTCAATTTTTAAGAAAATGGGCCACATTACTTTGAATTTACACGTAAAGCGGGTCCACTCTGATATTGTCCCGCACTGTTTGAAAATCCTGGCTACGGGATTGCTCATGGCCATCCCAACGAAAATCAATAAAATATAGTCAATATATTATTTAAAAAATGTTTTAGATTGTGCATTGACCAGGTGGAAATACACCAGAGGTCACTGGCGTGGGGAGTGGTGGGAAGTGTATAGATCACTCGCTGTCCAGTGCTTACATCAATCCTCCAAGAAGTACAAAGTTATGTACCAAAAGTGTCCTCTATCCACACCCCCATTTCTTGAATCTTACGGAATCAAATTTTTGATGTTAAAATATTACCGATTTTACTCTATGGCAGTGAAATGTGGGGTTTGGATGATATTTCATCTACTAATAAGATACAAATGAAATTGTGTAAATACATATTAGGAGTTGGCAACTCAGCACCCAATATTGGTGTTAGAGGAGAATGCGGGAGATACCCCATACATTGCATGTTCTGTTAACGTTATTAGGTATTGGTTAAGACTGATTTATATGGACAGTGAAACATTTATTAGGCAATGCTATGACTTTCAATACAGAAAAACACAAAGAAACGAGCCTTAGATGTAAAAAATCTATTATGTTCCATTGGTTTTGGAGATATTTGGCATGAACAAAAAGTGAACGATTTTAATGATTTTGTATTTAATCTAAAACGAAGGTTAACAGACATTGAGAATCAAAGGTTTTTTGAAGAAATTAGGCAACATTCTAAATTAAAATTGTATTCACAAATTAAACATGAATTCAGATCAGAGGATTATCTAAAAAATGTAGACAATCACAGACATAAACAAATCCTTACGAAATTAAGATTGGGGATATTAGAATTAGAATTAGAAAGAGGAAGATGGTATAATGTTAATATAAAAATGAAAGATTATACAAATTATGTTCGTTACAAAAAGTCGAAGATGAATATCATTTTACCTTAGTTTGCCCTTTTTATTCAGATATTAGAACGAAATTTTTATTTACCTTTTACACAGACACTCCGTCTGAATTCAAATTTCTTAATTTAATGTCTACTAAAAATATTGATCTCATTTCAAAGTTATCAAAATGCTTATCTTACTCATTTAAACGCAGAAAAGAATATTTAGATGCACTCTAATTTTGTTAATATCATATTTTGTATATTATTTGGGCCAGAGGCCTATGTGATAAATAAATGTTCCTTGAACCTGTTTTCAAGGAAGAAGAAGAAGAATCTGTTGCCAGCTGTTTTTTTTTTGTTTTTTTTTATCGTTTTTTTGGAACAAAGAACAATAACCATTATTTGGGCCAGTATTAAACATTAAGAGCCAGTACGCAATACTCAATTTACTGTGATACGTTATAATATTAATCATTGCGCCCTCTATTTGCAATCTTCAAAGGTTGCTGCACTTCATCTTCACCAACAATTTATTTTTTTTTTTTTTTTTTGTAAAACCGGTGTATAATGGTTTATCAAATATAAATCAATATTAGGTGGAGGTATAGCTGGTTTGTCTGCAGCACTGGAGTTGTCTGAACGAGGGTTTACTGTAACTATTCTGGAGTCGGACACTGTACTTGGCGGGCGGCTTCACACGAAGGACGTAGAGTTACTGAACCAGACATGGCCAATTGAGACTGGGTTTCACGGTACGGTATTCACATTAGATACATTAGATAACAATGCTATGAATAAAAATTTTAATACAAAATGATAATTTTAAATCGATATTCGATGGTCTCTGTTACGGTATTTAAGTATGGCCCTAATTTGTATTTTATTGTCTTGTAGTTAACGATATAATTGATAGGCTTATGAAATGAAATAAACCGGATAGTCGTGTTAGGCTTACTAATTGTTTTGCCCATGGCAAATGTACCGAATAATTTATATATTATTTCGCCACATGTATGATATTTTGAAATTACAAGGTGGAGGATGCCATTGGGAGTTGGTGAGTGAGAACTTAAAAAAAAAAACTGTTAAATGGTTACAAAGTTGATACACCGGTGGGACGAGATATAGAGAAACTAGCAAAACTTTGTGTTGCATAATTCGCGCCGCGAAGTAAAGTGAAGCGTACTTGGTAGTTTAACAGCATCGTGCTATGTGTACATGCCTCAATTGTTAATGCGTATGTGTAACCTGATGGTCCAACTACGATATGTATAATTTGGTGATGCCAGTTCAATTGCGTCGTGTGGCTGTCTAATGGTTTATTGCAATGCGATGCGTGATTTGATGGCTCAACTGCGTGAATATTCGTAATGCAAAAGTTTTGTTGAGTCAGCTTTGCTGTAGTAGCCCTCTCATAAATAAATAACTGACGATTTGATTGCGTGCGCGTAACTTTATTATTCAATCGGTATTGAGCAAAACCTGATTGTTCAACTGCGTGGTGATGCGTAAAAACCTGGTGGTTCAACTGCGTGACGATGCGTAACCTGATGGTTCAACTGCGTGAGGATGCATAACATGGTGGTGCAATTGAGTGACGATGCGTAACCTGATGGTAACCGTGAATGTTCGTCACCTTACAGGTTCTACAGGTTCTACAGCGTGTGATGATGCATAACCTGATGGTTCAACAGCATAATATGCGTACTCTATATCTAGATATAGAGGGAGGACTAGATCACAGAGAAGTGGCTTCGTCGCCTCCGCTAATTTGCAAAATTTTCCCTGTGTTCTGACGTCTTTTCGACATCTATATCTCATACTTTTTTCATGAATTTGTACCTATGTATTTACGTGTAGCGTTTCTGTGAGCATTTGCCTTTGTAACTTGTGCAATTTGATTGGAAAGACGTAGGCTCATTGGCTTGACTCTCTTCGTGTGCGTTCTCACCGCCGTGCTACCCGGATCACAGCAGCTTGGTAGTAGTAATCAACAACCCGGTAAGCTTTAAAGCTAAATCACACAATGGTGCTTCCCGTTGTTCAAGCGGCCTGTAGTCTCGCCTTGTTCGTTAGGTTTATTGTTCCTCAACTGACATCTGATCTCTGGAACTCTCACAACAATGTTCTAAACATGAGACTTAGTCCTATCCACCATGCATTATCAACTGGTGAATTGAGTCCACAAGACGCAGGCCTCTGTTTTACAACCGTGTTGGACGAATATTTTCGGGAGAACCCCGAGTTCATTAAAAATATCCCTAGGACGGAAGCTATTAAAGAACCAAATTATTATCTACGCCGTTATCAAAAAACGATGTTGGAAGCTAGGAAAATAAAGAACAAGCTGAGAAGAAAGGCCTTTAGGAAAGATTCAACTCAGGAATCGAAAGTGGAATTCTTCAAGGCCTTGAAAGTCTATGACTATTTTAAAAAAGCCCATACCAATAATGAGAATAGGAGATCAACCCAATATGAGGAAAAACTATACCGTGCTAATTTTTGGAGATTTAGCAAAAATCTTCTCACCAATTCGCTCTACACTGGTCACAAAGGCCCTTCGTTTTCTAAAGAAACTGCAAACAATTTTTACTCAACTAAATATGGAATTCCAAAAACCATAGATGCTTCTCTACTGTCTTGGATACCGGACCCTTGTACACCGGAGGAAGATACAATTCCATTCAACACAAGCAGTATCCGCCCAAAAGACATTCGCAACGTTTTAAAACGCAAAAGTAAAAATTCAGCTCCTGGCCCTGACGGTATCTGCTACGGCTTACTGAAGAAACTTTCTTGTACTCACCACTTTCTAGCCACGCTATATAATAAAATTCTGGAAACTGGACAACCAGTGCCAACTTGGACAGATAGCAGAGTTACACTGATCCATAAAAAAGGTGCAACTGACTCCCCATCGAATTTTAGGCCTATCGCATTATCATCATGCACTGGTAAAATATTCCATATTATCCTAGCTAACCGTCTGGAAGACTTCATGAAGCAGAATAAACTCGTCAATACGGAATTGCAAAAAGCTTTTCTCAGAGGTATCAACGGATGTATTAAGCATAACACCGTTGTTCATGAGCTCATCAGACATGCTAAAGCCAACTCCCGAACAATTAACTTTACGTTTTTTGACTTGGAGGACGCCTTTGGTTCGGTGCCTCATAAGTTAATTAGTCTCGTACTTGATAGATCTAATGTTGATCCTTGTTTTAAAATTTACATTAATAATTTATATGCCAATATCTCTGGGTATGTTAAAACAAAGGATTGCCAATCGGATGAATTTAAATTTCGTAAAGGTATTTTTCAGGGCGATCCCTTATCTCCCCTTATCTTTATTTTGATTTTCGACCCCATTATCCAGGCATTGGTATTGGAGCTTTCCCACGGCTACAATATGGATGGAATGAAACACATCACAACTCCATTTGCAGATGACTTCTGCTTAATAACTGGTAATAAGAAAACACACCAAAGATTAATTAATAAGATATCCACCTTTACTTCGTCAATGGGACTTAAACTAAAACCATCCAAATGCAAATCTCTCTCTATTGTCCGTGGGAAAGCTTCGAATGTGCCGTACACTCTAGCTGATAGCACTATTGCATCAGTTCAAGACGAACATCATACATTTTTGGGCTCCATTATATCATTCCGTAATACCGAGAATGATGTCTTCCAATATCTTGAAGAGATAATTAAGAAAAATCTTAAAGTAATCGATAGTTCTCTTGTTAGGTCTGAATTCAAAGTCAAAATTTATTCCAATTACCTGTTACCTAGTTTAAGATTTCATCTGACTGTTAACGATATTTGTAAAACTCAGCTTGATAAACTTGATTCCCTCAGTAGCAAGTATGTAAAAAAATGGGTCTATTAAATTTAATATAATAGGCCTATATCCTGTCTCTTATACACATCTTCCCTAGGACGGAAGCTACCAAAGAACCAAATTATTATCTACGCCGTTATCCTAAAACGATGTTGGAAGCTAGGAAAATAAAGAACAAGCTGAGAAGAAAGGCCTTTAGGAAAGATTCAACTCAGGAATCGAAAGTGGAATTCTTCAAGGCCTTGAAAGTCTATGACTATTTTAAAAAAACCCATACCAATAATGAGAAAAGGAGATCAACCCAATATGAGGAAAAACTATACCGTGCTAATTTTTGGAGATTTAGCAAAAATCTTCTCACCAATTCGCTCTACACTGGTCACAAAGGCCCTTCGTTTTCTAAAGAAACTGCAAACAATTTTTACTCAACTAAATATGGAATTCCAAAAACCATAGA